CCATGAGGCAGCACATGGTTGACCCCTCGAAGCTGTGCCCGTCCGACCTCCTCCCTCCATCCTCGCCCCTGCCCCCGATTCCCTTCCAGAACCCCGTCGTCGTGATTTTGCGACAGGCGTGGTTCCCTGAAGGTCTGTTGACGGTCTGTCGGAGCAGCTATTCCTCCCAGGGAGCAGCTATTCATCCCGAGTCGCTCTTTTGACGGTCCTGGGGGCTCGCTGAGGGCCCCTGGAGGCCAGAAACACGCAAAACCCTCCCGCCGCGATGTGTTCGCAGCGATGGGATGTCGACCGCACTTGGCCCTTCCGGCTGCTCCTCCTCACCCTTCCTGCGTCCCCCCCCCCCCCTCGTATTTCTCGCCTCCCTCGTGGAGTGGCGAACATGTTCCAAATGCGGCCCAAAATGTGTTCCACATCGGGCCCAGTCCCACACCGGGCAGGGCGGGGGGCAACGTGGGCTCCCATGGGCCAGACACCAAGACAGGCTCGAGCCCGGTTTGACCCCCCTCCCCGGCCTCCGACAGCGGCGGGCGGGGACACCGCCAGCGCGCGCGCGGGGGCGCGACAGGCGTCTACGCGCCGATCGGGGCCGTGTTCGCGGCCGTGACGCTGTGGCTCTTCCGATGGGCGCTCGGGCGCGGGGGGAGCCCCCCTGAGAGCTCGGCGTCGCAGTATTTCCAGGTGGCTCGAGGCCTCGAGGCTCGAGGCATGTGTGCGCTCTCGTCGGCCCTCGGCGGCTTCCCAGCCCGGGGATGTCCTCCGGCAGCGTCGCCTCGCCGAGGGCGTTCCGAGAGGGCCTGAATCGTCCCAAACAGACGCCAGAAAGTCGAGCTGTGCGCCGAAACTCAAAGGCGTCCTCTCGTTGCGAGAAAACTGCGACAAGGGGGCCTTGCGAGTCTTCGGATTTGGGGGTCCCTCGCCAAGCCCCAGGACCGTCAAGAAACGACTCGGGATGAGAAGCCAGTCCCGGGCAAGGGATCCAGACCTTTGGGGAGACACGCGGCGAACAAAAACATGACGGAGGACGTCTGGGTTGGCAACGGGCGCTTGTGCCATGTTTCGGGCCCTGGGGCCCTCACGTAGGGGTGTGGCTTGAAAGATGCTGCGGAGAGATTTGGCCCAGGGGTCTGGTCGAGTTTTGTCGCGATATGTGCGTTCGTGACGTCGCGGATCGGTGGGAGGGGTGGTGTAGCCCTGGCTTTCGGCAGGCGGGCTTCATCCATCTGATCATGCGCAGCGCAGACCGCACGTGGGAGCAGAGCGGGGACATTCCAGCGCACGTGCAAGGTTTTGGGGGGAGGGCGGCTACGAGGGGGTGGGGGGCCTGATTCTCGCGCCGCGAACAAGTCTCACGACGGAAGGCGTGCGCCTCTAGGGGGGGGCCTTCACCAGGCCCTGGGGCCGTCAGAAAATTGCGGCTGAGAGGTCGGTCCCTGGGAGGGGGTCCATGACTCTGCGGGGCCACATCGCGCAAAAGTCACGACGTCGAATTTCTCTGGAGGGGGAGGTCGGGGCCCTCGGGAGGAGGAGGAGGAGGAGGAGGAAGACGAGGTGGTGGTCGGGGCCTAGCGCTCGAGAGGGGGAGGAGGACGACGATGACTTTTAGATCCAGGAGAAGGCGACGAGGGCGACGTCGGAGGAACTGTGAGGGAGGTGGGGCTGGGAGGGGAGGAGGAGGAGGAGGAAGATGAGGAGGAGAAGGAGGAGGAGGAGGAGGAGGAGGAGGAGGGAGAGGAGGAGGAGGAGGAGGAGGAGGAGGAGGAGGAGGAGGAGGAGGAGGTCGGGGCCCGGCGCTAACGGGGGTCGGCCAGTTCCCCCTGGCAGGCCCAGGTCTCCGAGCCGCTTGGGGCCGATACCCCTTGTCCTCCCTCCGCTGACCCTGGTTTGGGAGCCACGTCGTTGCCCGCCGGGGTCTGCGGCATGGCCCCGGCTGGCATGGGTCAGCGCGCTGATCCAGGCAAGCGCGTCTCCGAGGAAGAGAGGAGGGAGGCGGGGCGTCGTGGGCGTCGCAGGAGAGGGGTGAAGACCTGGCGTGCATGGGATGATCCCATGTTTTGATGGCCCCCTGTTCTTCTTTCGGTACGCCCCCGTGCGTCGGGCCATGGATGCGCTGTAGCGCCCCTCCTCCTGGCCCCCCTTTCACCCCTTGTAGCTGAACCGGCGCAGAGACGATTCGTATGGCCCCAACGGGAAGATGACACGGGCAATTCGATAATTGTATGCTACGCTTCGGTGGCACGCTCGCGGTGAGTGGAGGAGGAGGAGGAGGAGGAGGAGGAGGAGGAGGAGGAGGAGGAGGAGGGGAGGAGGAGGAGGAGGAGGAGGAGGAGGAAGGGGAGGAGGAGCGAGGATGAGGATGCTGTGCCTCGGTCCCCGTTCGAGGGCCGAGGGCATTGGAAGCTTCTGGACAATGCTGGGCCTCCTAGGATCCCTTCCGTCGCCACGGGTGGACTTCAGTCGAATGTCTGGCCAGAGCGCACCACAGAAGGCAGGAGGTGGA